GGGGAAGATCGATCTTATTTGGTTAAGAGGGAAGAGTTCAGAGTTTGAGAATTGCTTAGGAAATGGTCAGATTCCAGAACTACCCAATTGGTTGGCTGGGATAGATTAGGAAGAGCTAAGAGTGAATGGAGAAGGGCCTGTTTAACGGGGTCCACTGGGCCTGGGGCTTGGTGGGTGAAGGTAGGCTCTGGGAGAACTCCATGACTCTCAAAAGGGTTGGCAGTCATTTTTTTGTTTCTAAGTGTGCCATCCAAAAGGACCTTCAATGAAGGGGTGGGGGTTCATGTTTCTAAAGAGACTACAAACAGAAAACTTCTGCTTCCTTTCTGGGACCACACTTGAAAAGCTGTTGGCTTTTTTTTTTCTTTCTTTCTTTCTTTTTTTTTTTTTTTGTACTGATTTCAGAAAAAGGGACTTCGGCAAAAGGAAGGGGAATCCCCTGGCAGAGGTCCCATCCACAGAGCTCCCCTTTGTGGTTACTATGGAAACAGGCATAATAGGAACAAAACATAAGCATGTTGCTTGGCAACCTTGGAGCCTAAGGTTCATCACACACACATACTCATAACTCCTTCATTTCAGGGAACCCCCCCAGGGTAGGAGCGTCATTGCTGGAAGCTGGGTTATCCCGGTGACGAGTCCTAGAGCTCATGTGGCTTTGCCTGTTGAGTCTGGAGTACTGAGGTGTGTGGCACCTCTAAAGAGTGATACATTGCCAACCTTACAGCTGACCTGAACCCTGGCTGGTGTTGGCAGGAGTCTGAAACCTTGATGGAAACACAGGTTTCCTTTACAGTGTTAGAACAGGGGGGACTCTTAAAGTGAGTGAGTGTGAGAGGGAGGGAGACAGGGAGGGAGGGAAAGACAAGAACATCTGGTGTTGGGTGTGGGATAGGAGAATAAAAGGATAGAAAATTCAGCTTCCAATTTTCTGAAAACACAACTGGCAAGGAACTGAAGACAAGGTAAGGGGTTGTGAGCCATTCCCTCTGGACTGTGTGGCTGTCGGGGAGGGATTCCATCCCGCTGAATTCCCTGTTGCCTACTCCACTGACACAAGTCCTTGGCCTAGTGTTGGATGGACAAAAATGTTTATGCAGCTGCTGCAAAGATCTACAAGTAGGGGAATTGTTCCGTGGGGGCTGACAGTCTTGAGAAGATGTAATAGACAGGCAAGACACTTGTGCAAAGAACAAGGATTTTGGAGCCAGTTATCTGGAGAACACTCATTAACATGTCATTGAGGGCTGGGGATATATCTTAGTGTTGGCCTAGCATTGATGAGACTCTGGGTTTGATAACTAACATCACAGTAAATAACTCCGTTTCTGAATGATTGCTGTATGTCTGCCAGTGTCTCCCATACAGAGCACAGGAAGAGGGAAAATCTCTGTCTTTTGGGAAAATAAATGTGAGTGGGAACTTTAATTTTCCCTTTGCCAGCTGTGTGACTTTAGGTAAATCAGCACCCTCTCTGAGACTATTTCCTTATCAAGTACCTCCCTTTTAGGGTATGACTAATAGATAAAAAGAATCACATACAATGGCTGTTATGGTGGGCTTGGGGGAGGGGACAGGATTTCCACTGAAAACTTTTTTGTGTGTGATTCTTGGATACAGTGTCTCACTCTGTAACCCAGACTGGCTTGAAACTTTATAGTCCACACTGGCCTGGAGCTCATTGATTCTCCTGCCTCAGCTTCCTGAGCATTCAGATTATAGCTATGGAACTGTCACACACCCATCCAAAAGCTTGAAAACCCCTCCTCTTTGGTAATTAGGAAACCCCAGGTCTGGTTCCATTTGCACGACCCTGATCTTTAAGGAACTGGGTCCAGACTATCTGTTCTCTTAGCCTGGAATGGGACAGGAGCCAGTTCTCAGAACTCAGCCCTAACCAAGTAATCTTGGCATGTTTAACCCTGAATGAAGTGTCTGGACAGTGATCCCTGCTCTGCTAACTGCTCCAAAAGCCAGCCTTGCCCACCTGCCTTCTTCCCTGTTGACCAAAAGGGTGGCCAGAACAAACAGTGGGGCAGTAGAATTGGCTCAGAGCCCAGGAAGCGCTCGCTCCTAGGAGGCCAATGCAGTGTGAGCAGAATCACACTGATGCTCACTCAGAGCCCTTCCCCTTTCCTCTTTCTTATGCCAATCTCCTTCCTCCAAGCCCTGCCCCACGGCCACCACCCCATCTGGAGTGCTGCTGCAGATACCCCGTGTTTTAGGGCTTACATCACATCATAACCACCTTCTGAAAGCCCAGGGGTAAAGAAGTCAATTCCTTTTTGAACATGCATCAGAAAACTCATTCTTTCAGGGAATCAAATGAAAATTCAAAGTTAAGAATCGGTTGGTAAATGATTAACTGGTGGCTTTTGGGGAGAGTGTCTAGATAGAGAAAAAGGGAGGAATTTCCTTTTGTTTTTTTTTGAGACAAGTGTTATGTAGCCCAGGCTGACTTTGAACCCTTTATGCAGCCAAGGTCACATAGGATCCTGACTCCCACCAAACTAGGCAGAAGTTTATTTTCATTGTTCTGCCTCTCTATATTGCCTACATTTCAAGGACTGGGATGCAGCTCATTTGCACAGTGTTCATTTTATCATGTAAGAGGCCTTGGATGTGAGTCTTAACACACAGGCAAAACCAAAGCAAACAAACAAACAAAAACCAAAACAAAAAACCCCCAAACCAACAATAAAGACCTAACTAATACCCCTCATTGTTATGGAGGCATTGAATCCCCCCTTCCCACCCAGAGAGCTGTGTAACAGCCCTGGCTGTCCTGGAACTCACTCTGTAGACCAGGCTGGCCTCAAACTCATAGAGATCGCCTGCCTCTGCCTCCCAAGTGCTGGGATTAAAGGTGTGCACCACAATTGCCCGGTGGCATTGCTTTTTTAATGTCATCAGGGATTAAACCTGGTTTAGGATTGCAGAGTTCTTTATCTTATTCTTGGTCTATGTTTAAGAGATGAAATAAATGCTATTTATATATGGATGGGGCCTCACTATTTAGCCCAGGTTGGCCTCTCACAGAGATTGCCAATCATTGCCTCTTGAGTGCTGGGATTAGAGGTATAAATATGAGTTTAAAATGAATGAAATAAAATGATTTGATGTGGTGAACATTTGAGAGGCTAAGGCAGAATTGCTGTACACATGAGGACAGCAAAACCTATATTGTGAATTCCAGGCCAGCCCGGGCTACATTATAAGACCCCTTGTCAATAAATCACGATTGAGGGCTAGCCTAGGAGATGACTCAGCCTGTTAAATCACTCGCCTCCAAGCCTGATGACCTGTTTGATCCCAGTACCCACGTGGTTGAAGGAACCAACTCCCACAAGCTGTCCTCTGACCTCCACATGTTCATACACACTAAATAAATAAATTAAAGAATGACTGGCTATTGAGTTTTGCTTTTTGAGTTGTTTGACCTGATCCTTACTGTGTATCTCTGGGGGCCTGGAACTCACTTTGTAGCCCCTAGGGAGTACTGAGTAAGCAGTGGATCTTTTACTTTTTTTTGGAAAGGTTGAGCTTATGGCAGACAGTATGCTCCTGATGATGATGTGTTTGGTGGGTTTGAGTAACTAAATGAGAGAGAGAGAGAGAGAGAGAGAGAGAGAGAGAGAGAGAGAAGAGAGAGGAGAGGGGGAGATATGTGAGTGGCCAATTCTCTGCTTTGCCTGTCTTTGCATGTCCATGCCTGTCTGAATTTCTGACTACATTTCTCCACCTTGGCGTGTCCATTATATATGTGTCTGTTCTATCACTCCCTCTGTTGTCTCCCTCCCCCCACCTCCTGTACCCTGTGTGGTAACTGGACCTGGACACAGCCCCCAGGGCTGGCAGGAGACTTGGCTGATATTTTTAGCCTGTAAACATGTTTGCCATTTCAGAGGACAGGGCAGGGCTGGTCTCAGCACCAGCCCACTCATGATCTTGGAGCGAAGGCGCTCCTACCTCAGGCCAAGGTCTCAGTTCTCCCGCCTGAGGTCTCTTAGGGCATTTGGGAAGGAAGGGAAACTGGAGTGGGCAGTTGGGTAGCCACTTGCCAGGGAGGGTAGAACTCATGGGTAAGAAGAAAAGGGAGGTGTGTGGGGAGGATGTAGCCAGAAGGTCCCTGCAACCCCATCATTAGGCATTTAATAAAATCCACATCTAGTTAGAAGTGGCTGTGGGAAATGGCTGTAAATTGGGGAGCTGGAGAACTTGCAAATGGGAATATGGGGGAGGGGCTGAGGGGCGAGAGAAAGATTGGGGAGGCAAAGAAAAAGCTGGATCTTGGGTTCCTCAAGGTTAGTGGGGCATGGTGGCTCATCCCAGGGAGACAGAAGCAGGCGAATCTGTGAGGCTACCTGGGTCTAGCCGGTTCCAGGGCCACATAGACTGCTGCCCTCCAAACAACACAACAAAATCTCCAAACGGCATGGGGACAGTGTCTATAGAAGAGGGTGAGCAGCCTCATGGCTCGTCCAAGGACTGCAGGTCTGACACTGGTGCGCTGCAGCTGCTGAGCTGTACCGTGGTATGGTGCATAGGTAATCCCATTCCTAGGGTTAGGGTCTGAGTCTTAGAGTCAGCATGTGTTGTAGAGGGAGCTCAGAGAGCCTCGAGAAAGTCTGAAGGCTAGTAATGGGCGCGGCTGCAAGAAGCTTGGGAACCAAGACAGGAGGCTGGGGCCTGGGACTAAAGTGTCTAAGCTTGAGAGAAAGCTCAAAGGTCTGTGTTGAGGCTGGAGGTCGAGGCTGAATCATCTTCTTGGCTCTTCCTGCAGAATGGGTTGACACTGGGTTCCAACTGTGAGGATGAGCCCCCGCTCCTTCGAGCTTCCAGGAATTTCTTGCCGGTGGAGAGAGACACTGCTCAAACTGGGGTGGGAAGATCCAGACACTGGGACGGGAGTAATAGATGGGATAGGGGAAGGGAAAAGGCGACGCCTCCTTGTCCCTGAGCCCCCTCGCCAGTCTCCTTTCACCGTTCCACTCCCGGGTGGCTTCAGCGTTGGTCTCGCTCTCGGGTCCCAGCCCTGCTCGGGCCCCGCCCGGCCCCGCCCTCTCCCCACAGCTCGGGGCAGACCCGCCCGAGTTACAAGAGCCGCCTCCGCGCGCGGGGGCCCGGCCACTTGGAGCAGCTCTGCCGCGGGGACTGCACTCTCCGCCCTGCCAGCCCCGCCCCGACTGGGGCTCGCCGTCGCCAGCAGTCTTTGCACTGCGACCTCGGGCCCTACGCCGCCTATGGCTGCGTCCTGGGACTGAGCCCGCAGGTAGGGAAGCGAAGCGCAGGGTGGTGCGCACTGGGGCTAGGGCCAGGGGAGGGAGGGACTGGCGAGGTGCATTTGTGGTAGTGTCAACTGCGAGGGTTCCAAAAGTTCAGGGCAAACCCGGCCGTCTGTGGCTGCCGGGACAGGCGACGCGTCGCGCTTTGGGAGTGGAGCTCTCTCCCTGGAGTTGGGGCACAAGTTGGGCTAAGTTAGAAAAATCGCTTGGATATGTGCTTTGCTGCGCTTTATGTTTTTCCCGCGGGCGGACTCTTCTTCCCAACTGCATTGCAGGGCGCTGCGTTCCCGGCCTGGTGGCCTCTGTCCCACCCCTTCACTTTGGGGCGGTGGCTCAGAGCGCTGGTGGGTTCCTATTCCATGTTTACTGGAGAAGTTTTCCGAGATCCCCGTCGCAGTTCTCCCGCCCCTCCGGCGCCCCTACACCGCGTGCCCCCTCTGCTGTCCTTCGCGGCTCTCCACACCTCTCCCGCGAACTTCGCGTCCGGAGTCCCCTCAGCCCCACCCTGCCCTGTACCACCAGCCTCTGCCTTTCTGGCTCTTAGCGGCGCCTTCAGCAGCTCCCCTTCAGCTGCCCCGCCCTGCCCTAGCCCCTCCG